GTCAGTTAGTTTATATCTATCTACAGGGTGCAATGGGTAAATTGTCGCTATTTTATATTTTTAATTTCGATCATGTGCGGTGTTTTTTTTTTTTTATTTTATTGATTGCACGGTATAGTAGGGTCAGTTGGGCGCCATCTGTGAGAAAAAGAGCACCATAACACAATTTACTCCGAGAAAAAAATAGAAGCTATATGCTGTACTGCTTGACATTCGCGCCGAAATCTACAATACGAACATTTCAGAGTGGATGTCAATCTGAGGACAGTACTGAGGATTCGGAAAGAGTTGGATGAATCTAATGCTGATTACGAAGGTACGGCAGCTCGGCAAACTCACTTTGATCGTTTTGATAAGAAAAGAACTCTCGAATTTTTGGTGAGGGCCTCAGACTTAACTCGAAGGCCTACATCAAGTGCCTTGAGGAGATAGTGCTGCCCTGGGTCAAGAGGGTGGCTGCTGGAAGACCGTATATCTGGCAACAAGTCTCTGCACCATGCCACACAAGCAGAAGAACATAGTCATCGCTGTCAGACAATTTCTGCAATCACATCACTTCTTGCATCTGGCCAATTAACTCCCCAAACTGAAACCCCCTTGATTATTATGTATGGGTCGCAGTGGAGCGAGAGACCAACAAAGCCCCTTATAACACCAAAGATGAACTGAAGGCAAAGATTTTGGCAGCATTCACCAACTTAAACAAGGAAATCTTCCAGAAGATCTGCAGTAAATTCCGAAGTCGTCTGGAGGCTGAGGTTGAGGCCAATGACAATTTTATTGAATAAATTGACTCTTTAGTATTTCAAGATATTTTTGTGCAATTTTGGTAAAAGATATTAATGCTTCTAATAATTAAAAGCAGAATTCCTTGGAAAAGTTAAATCATCAATTTCTTTTTGCAAATCAGGATCCCCACTTATCCAAAATCTGCTCTGAATCGTAAAATGAAAAAGCAATAAAATTATTTAAAAGTATTTTTTGCTCCGAGGAGCTGCATTCGCTGGTTCCCAAACTTCATGAGTTCAAGCGCCTTACGAGGCTGGCATCCCGCTCTCACCCTTTCACTGTCGAAACTCCTAAATGTAGCCGTCTCTTCTACTCCAATAGCTTCATGTCTCGCCCCTCTCGCCTGTGGAACTCCCTTCCCTATTCCAGTTTCCCTGAGAGCTATAATCTCCAGCTATTCAAATGTAATGTCAATCGATATCTCCAGTTGCCTTGATCTATCCATTACCCTTCTCCTCATCCTTTCCTCTATCACTCCTATCTGATCTTGCTCCAAATCTTCTGTAACCCCTTGCGTCCTAGTGACTTCTCGCCTTGCTTGGGGTGAAACGCTTAAAAAAAAAAAAAGAATTTTGAATCTTTTTTGTATGTGCATAAACGTTCTAATTTTTTACATACGGACGTCAGTTTTTTTTTTTTTTTTACATACGAACGACATCATTAGAAAATAAGAGCGATAACTATAGAAAATTTAAAATCAAAGTATCTAAAATTCAATAAAACATTAGATTACGGAGAATATTTTCCTAAATTTTTAAGATTGCTGAGTACTTAAATATTATATGCAAAAGGGCGCTTACGTTATATTCTTCAAATATTTTTACGGATAAATCCACCGTAGAAAAATCATTAGATAAACATTCATTTCTCATTCAAGCTGTCAATACGTCCACATCTTAAACAAGCAGTAGCTGTTTAAAAAAGATTAATTTCTGAGATATTTTATACTTAAAGTAAATAATATTCAAATCAGATTAATTAAACTTTAAATTAGCTAATATTCTTCAAATAAAGTTTCAGAAAACTATATTTTATTTTTGTGAGATTTTTTTAACAAAGAGATTTATATTGCGATGAAAGATGGCTAAAAATGGTGCTAAATCAGCGATCTATTTTGCTTATTAGAAATATTAAATTTAATCTATTAGCTTGAGATTAAAACCAAAATGAAAGCTTCAAGAAAGGTACTTAAATAAATGTATATATCTACAAACGAAATATTAAGAAACGACAAGTGGGAATATTTATTTTTTCAATGCATTTCGTTTCTTGATTAACTTGACGACATTTGCCTTCGGTATGGACAAGACTTTTTTTTTTTTTTTTTTTTTGAATAGTACAAGTCCTAATCTCGCAGTTTCAAAGTAAAGTATGTATTTATGCAGGGCAATGCTCCTTAAGATTTAAAAGAGAGAATGTCTTGATATGAATCCAATCGAATTTATGGTCAATTGTGAAGATCAAATTATATGACGCTGGCAAACAATATGATAGCAAAGCAATTATGAGAAGCTATTAAAACCGCCATGTCGGAAATTGAACCTGCTGAAGCAAAAAAAAAAAAAAAAAAAATGTCAACGGATAATAGATAGCCGTTTGTTATTGAGAAGCGTCAAGTATTAAGGTATAGCAATTTTTACTTGTCATGCGTTCTATCATAGGTGTTGATCAATTATTGATGATTTTATTACCTTGTTATTGGAGTAAAAACTGATTTTCTAGTTCTGTTTAATAACTTCAGACTACAGTTTTTATTATAAATCCAATAACTTTAATAAAACAAATTAAAACTACCTAAAAAATTAACTCAAGTTTTGACGTCTCTTTATTTTTTATTTATTTATTTATTTATTTATTTTTTGGTGGGGTGTATCTTTACAGTTTTCTAGTAACTTGTACACCCAAAACTAAATTGGGAGGAAAATAACAAAAATTGAGGAAAACCGCAGCCGATCGCTGAAATCTCCTGATGAGTGGAACGAACAATTACGAAAAAATCCGTCTACAAAACTCCGGATTTAAGGTGCTGAATATGACATCTATCAGATTAGTAACATATTTTATTTGTATTAATCCTATATAGATATATATATATATATATATATATATATATATATATATATATATATATATAATGAAATGAATTAAATGCGACAATTATTTAATATATTTTTCTGTTTATACGTAATTTTTAATAGATACAATTTATTTAAGTAAATGCTCTGTTTTTTTTTTTGTTTTTACTTTTTTTTTAGATAAAGAGTATTAATCACATTTACCGACCTGAATGAACGAGAAATTTCGTCAAAAATATGTGCTTCTCCGACAAGAATCGAAACTGTAACCCCAATGGGAAGCATCATTTGATCTGATGTGCTCTTAACTATTCAGCCACAAGGAAGCGTCTGGTTAGTAAAGTGAGAATTAACAACAAATATTCAGTGATCTTTCCTGGGCGATCATATCTGCTCACATATATATATATATATATATATATATATATATATATATATATATATATATATATATATATATATAGTTGATGTGAGTTTGTAATCCTGGGTTTCACGTTAATTGCGATCGTCAGACAAACTGATTAATTTTTAAATTTTGGATTTATATATGGTTGCGTATATCGGTGTTTTTATGGAGGTGGGAGGAAACATTGTCGTCGCGACGCCACTCATAGATACGCAAACATACATACACTCATACACTCATCCACGTACGCAGACACACACAGGCACGCCTCACTCACAGAGGCTCACACAAACAAACATATGGGAACAGTGTGTGATTGAGCACATATGCTCATATATACGTTGTTGCACACATACGTAGGCATTTAGTCGTTGTATTCAATGTTGGATTGTGTAGCGAATATTTCCTTGCCTGTTGTGCTGTCAACGCGCAGATCATTTTTCTATTTTTGTTCGCTGAATAATATTTACCCGCACGCACGCATATACATATAATGGGGTCTGTGTAAGACTATGTTAGGTAAAAATTGTTATTATTTTTAAGTTTTTAAGGCTGTTTTGTCATTATTTTAAAACCGGTTATTTGCTTGTTTTTGGTGATTGCGCATATGTAAATGGTAGAAATTCCAATTTGTAATACTTATTAGTATTTATGTGGTGATATTAATTTTGATGGGGGAAATATACTAGCTCTATCACTGATATTGACTGCTTTCCAATAAGTACCGCGCATATATAATATATTAATAATATATATAAAAAATTGCATATATATATATATATACTTATATACACACACACACACACACACACACACACACATATATATATATATATATATATATATATATATATATATATATATATATATCGAGTGTAACAACCAAATTATACAATTGTTCGATTAAGCTTTGAACCGTTGTATCTTAGAAATGATTAATGATATCTTACTGGAATTCTCCGAGGTTTTTATAAAACTATTGGACTCTACTTTGAATAATAAGAATATATTTAGCTCTAAGTTGAAATGATGACCCCCCCACCTCTTCCTGTTGTGACTTCCTGATCCAGTTTTCCTCTCTACTGTTCCCTTTTTTAAATTTATTCACCATTCTCTTGATCGTTCTTGAATAGACTTTGAAGATGGAAGCCACATTATGGATATTCGTACCATTACTGAAGGCCTGAATGATCTTTTTCCTCCCAGCATTGCTCATTTGGGAAGATGTAATCGGGCTGACACAAAACGATTTAATCTGTTCTCTTTCTAACTGAATAACTCAAAGAGTTTTTTAACGATTCTTACGACAAATGGTGTCAAAATGGCTAAACGTCTTATCTGAAAATTTGGAAAAACAGAAACTCAATTAGTTTAATGCTTGTTTTAGATATTAAACATTTTGTGGGATGGACAATTATCCCATTCACTTACATGATTTGGATAATTTTGCTGTTACACCTGGTATATATATATATATACACACATTAAATTCGGCCTTGTGCCACATCTGACCGCGTGGAGCGGTTGGTAGATATCCTGCAGTTGGAGATTCATTGTGGAATTCACTTGACTCACTTCTAGCAGTTGACTACTACTTCTACGCGCCGCTGGCGAATCTTATATGTGTTGTTCTTGTCCTAAGTATTATCGGTCATTACCAACTTTCGTGTGATTATTCTATTCAGTAACCTTCCCTAGGTTACAACATTTTAACGACGAGGATTAGCCAA